CCCACCCCCGCGGGGGGGGGGAGGGGGGGGGGGGGGGCAGCGCTGCCCCAAGCTGCACACTCCCCCCAGCGGGCAATTGGGGGGTGCTCCCAAGGCCGCCAGCATCACCCGGGGCTCCCCACCCTCCGTCGGCTCCAAACCTAGCGAGGAGGAGGATGGACCCAGTTCCTGTCCCCAGTTTCAGCTGGCAGACATAGGGATAGACCCTCGAGAAGAGCCCCCCACCACCACTGAGGCACCCATCCCAGGGTCTCACCTCCACGGATACGGCTTTGTCCGCGCTCTTCTTGCTGGGGGTCTCTGGGCCCGTCTGGGTCTTGGCGGGGCCCTTCTCTGGAGCTCGGGAAGGGTTATTGCTCTTGGAGGGGTGGGTCTGGGTTTGGGGGGGGCTGTGCCCGAAGCTGGGCATGCCCAGGGTCTCGGTGCCAGCCGTCAGGTGGTGGAGGCTCACGGGGGGGCTGGTGGGCATCTCCAGGTCCAGCCCTTTGCTGAAGTCTGTCTCGGGGGCCACCTTCTTGGGGGACTGGCTGAGGATGCTGGGGGAGGTCCACACCCCCTCATCCACTTGCCTGCCAGGGACAGAGCGAAAGTGCTGGGTGCCTGCCCGGCCCGGGGGGGTGTGACTGCACCCTCTCCAAGCCACGCTGCAAAAAACCTTCCTCTCCTGCAACTGTGCATCATCACACGGCCGAGGGGTTCGGTTCCCTGATGCCTGGGGGGGGGGCGTGATGCTGCAGCCTCTTGGGGGAGCAGACCAACGAGCTCCTCCACCCGGCTGTCCGCTTTCATGAGCCTCGTGGGAAATGGGATCTCTCCGAATCCTGCCCCTCCGTCAGATCGGGCTGGGATTGCCCGTGGGATTCAGGAGTTATCGGGGCTGGGGAATGACAGGTAGGCGGATTCAGACACCGCGGCATGGTACAAGCTCATTCCTGTAGAAAACCAGGCTAGCAGGGAGCCCGAGGCAAGCCCAGTGCTGGAGCGCTCCTGCCGAGCTGTCCTGAAAGGTCTCGTAATGGGAAGAGGCAGGAGGGCTCTGCAGCCCACGGCCCAGCCTGCCACTATCGTCAGGTCTGGAAGATGATTTTTTTTCTCCAGCAGAACATTTTTCTGCTCCTCAGGAAAGAGGTTTCTGCTCGCCTTCCTACCTGGATACGCGACCGTGCTTTTCCCAAGGTGAGAAGGACAAGCCAGTTTAGAAAGAGGGGTGTCCCCCCCCCCGACCCTGGAGAGGACCGAGGGCATTTTTTAGTTCCTTAACAGAAAAATGAGCCTGTTTTTCAGCAAGTTTTGCATCTGTAGGGCAGAGAGGACACCGGCACCCAGGCTGGGTGGATGGGGACAACTGAAGGGACCGGCTGTGTCCTCCAAGGTGCTCAGGGGCGCGGGGTCAGGGCTTGGTGCTCACCTGCGGATCTGGGCGAGGGTGTCCGTCACCGTCTTGCAGCGCTTGAGCAGCCCATCGAGGCGGTTCGGCTCCTCCTTGAGGAACTTGACGGCTTCCACCTCCACCCGCAGCACCACCCGCATCTTGCTCTGCAGGCTGGGGAACTGGGCTGGGGTGGGAGAGTGGGGGGGTCACCAGGGCCCTGCTGTGCCAGGGAGCCCCTCCTGCTGCCCAGTTGGCAGTGCCAGGGCACCCCGTGCCCACCAAAACCACCACGGCCACCATGCCCATGGCATGGGCACCCTGCCAGACGACACGGGACGAATCCTGGGGACCCTGGGCTGGTGTCTCTCCTGCTCCCCATGCCCATCATCCCTCCTCCATCCCCCCACAGGAGCCAACCTCAGCCCCTGGCGGTGGCCCCTCCACATCCGTGGGCACCGAACGCTGCCCTGGAGCCGGGGGCTTGGTAGCCAGGAGCCTGGGGATGCAGGGGCTGGCACGGAGCAGCCTGCTCCTGGCTCCCTGCCCGGTGCTCTGCTCACCATCCCGGCTGCTCAGCATC